AAAGTGGAAAGGATAGGTTTCTGTCCAGATGCCTAAAAGGGGGAGATAATTGACAGAATTTATAGGTAACTGGTTTGATCTTTTTCTTCCTTCCTTCCTTTCTTTCTTTTTCTTTCTTTCTCTTTTCCTTTCTTTCTTTTCCTTTCTTTCTTTTTTTCTTTCTTCTTCCTTCTTCTCCTCCTCTTCATCTTTCCTTTTCCATCATCTCTTTTACTCTTCCTCCTCGTTCAGTTTTTCCTCTCCATCCTCTCTTCTCCTTTTCTCCTCCTCATTCTGTTCCTCCTTCCCCTTCATCCTCTCTCTCCTTTCTCCTTCATCCTCCCTTCTTCTCCTCCTTCCAAAATATGACTTTCCAAACAAGAGACAAACACAAAGACAAGCATTTCAATCTTCACTGCAAGGCCTGGCATCCAAACTGCCCTAGTTCCCAACCTTGACACAGAGGCAATCTGTGTGTCTTAACACACACACACACACACACACTTGTGTAAGCAGGTGAAAGGAGGGCAATGACCCCTTCCAGTCTCTTATCCTGCCTTGTCGAAAGCTGTGAGTCACCTGGGCTGCCTTGGGCTTTAGGCCTTAGGGGAAATTCGAGAGGGGGAGAAACTGACAAGGACACGTCCCCAACAGGTTGAGGATGCACAAGGAAGTCCTTAAATCTGTTGCAGAATTTACCTGGTGCTTCTGTTCTAAAATAAAGAACAAAGTGATCTAAAGTGATGAAATGGCTAATGGGGCAACACTTGTGTGCCTGCCAGCAGGATGTGAGGACAATGACCTTTCGTTTGGGCTCTAACCGGCAAGGATACACTGCTCCTATACATGGAGGCTCCATTTCATAATGTGGATAGATCTAGATCTAATTAGATCTTTTGGTCCCCTCTCAAAGCGCCAAATTTTTATTAATTTTTATCAATTAATGTATCGATGTTATGAATTAAGATTCATTTGAAGGGCATAAAATAGTTTTGGGGGGGTTTTTTGGCCTCCGTTTCTTTGGGTGTAACTTCAGATTCTAGGTGTAAATGCCATTTTCCTTTGGAATTCCCTTGCATCCTTTTTATGCACTTTTTTGCATAAAAATAAAGAACTTGTCATTGGGTGATAGGCAGGAGAGATGATGGAAAGAATGTAACTTCAAAACAAAAAATTAAACTTTTTTTTTTACTTATAACCGCTGCAAAGATGGGAAGCCATTTCTACGTTATCGTTTTCTTTCGCTTCAACTTTTTCCCCCTTTTATTATAAACATTTATTTTAAAAAATCAACATACGAGGGTTTTGATTTAGGGGCTTTACACCCTTCCCCTCTTTTCTTTACATTAGTTTGCATTCGTTTTTAATCTCCTTGTTTAAAAATTTCAACGACACACATAGCTGAAAAAGAATTTGGCGCGTCATTTTTCTGCAGGAATTTTTTTTCTCCCCGTCTTTAATTCATCAAAGCCAAGAATGAAGAAGGAAGCATTTATTTTTCCTCTTTCCTGCCCAAAGGAAAAAAAGGAAACCACCCAAACAGGTGTCAGTCTTCCTCCCCACCACCTGTGGAATGATGGTTTCAGCCTAATGAGCGGCTTAAGAAAAGGGAAGGAAAAAAAATCTGGAATTCTCTCTTGCGTAGATTAAAGCTGGCATCTTAAAGCGTCTGACACCCAGCCCCAAAGTTCACCAATGTATCCGGGAAGGAATGCATTTGCGCATGACTCACTTCTGTTTGTGTTTCACAGAAGGGAAACCGAGGCCACGGGTCTCGTGTAGCCAGTTGTGAGTCAGCAGCAGGAATGGGAAGTGGGAACCCTTGAGGGCATCAGTGGAAGGGCTTCCCTCCAGAAGTTGTGGGTGCTCCAAGACTGGAGGTTTTTTAAGAAGAGCGAAATGGTACAGGGTCTTCCTGCTTGAGCAGGGGGGGTTGGACTAGATGACCTCCAAGGTCCCTTCCAACTCTGTTATTTTGTTATCTTGCCTCAATCCACCCCATTCAAGACAAGGCACCTCTTTCTCTCACCCGCACCCAGCACAAGAACTCTGCCCATTCTCAGAGGCACAAGCTGGCTTGGGAGGTTAGTTTAAGGTCAAAGATGGCTTGATTATGGTTTCAGCCCATAAACCATGGTTAGTAAGCCAGACCGGATCTCGAAATAAGGGAAAATCAAGACACAACGCTCGGAAAGACCAAGCCAAATCATATAACGGTGGGATTAAAAAAAAAAAAATCTAATAAATAAAACAAATAATTGCAGAGTTTGAGACACCAAACTCAAGGCAGGAGTCAAACTGAGGATGGTTTTGTTCAGGATATGAATGCAACTTTAAAAAAAAAATCTTTTCTGAATGCAAAAACATCACAACAACACCTGTGTTTTGTAGACTTGGGTGCACAACTCAACAGCTCTTTTCTGCAAAGGCGAATTTTTACATCAGCAACTTTGCTCTGAGAACAACTCGCGGATAAAAGGATGGCCGGGAAATTGGGTGGGAAAATGGGAATTTAATACTTTTTTGTGTGGTTGCCGTGAAGCTCAGCCAGAAACCTCAAAGGGAGGCGGTGAATGAAAAGCCACCTGCGAGTGATAAAAACGGAGCGGCAGATAAAAATATTTGTGGCGAGGATAAAGTGGATTTGCCAGAGATAGCTGCAGGGTGGGGACTCAGATAATATCTGGGTATTACAAAGAGAAAAAGTTTTAGAGGCAGAAAATGTTCTCTGGAATCAAATGATGTTGTACAAAATTAGAATTGTATAAATGTGGGAAAGGATGCCAAATGTGGAAATGCAGAAGAGACATTACGGGATGGAGACGTAGAATCAGAGGCCTCTTGGCCGTGTGAAAACATTTGCAATTAACCCCAAAGAAAAGAAAATTTAATAAGCACAGGGGGGAAAAAATCTCAAATTCTCTTACGATGGGAAATCCTTTTCCAGCTTCTAATCCAGCAAGGACACGACTCCAAGCCCAAGAATAAGGAGCAGTGGCTGAGCAATTCGATAAATATAGCTCTTTTATTTGAAAAAAATCAACATACAAGGGTTTTTGATTTTCGTTCGAGACCAGAAAATAATATATATATATATATAATAAAGCTCCAGGAAATTAAAAATGGCCCATTCTTAAAATTCAGCCCGGATTGCATTAGCAGCGAATTTAAAATTGTACAGCTCACAGTCTCGGCTCAAACTTCAAGGTTTTTTTTTTTCCCTCTCCGTGAACTATTGGTGTCGTTGCAATAAAAAGAATACAAGTAGGCAATGAAATAAATGGAAAGCTTTGGAGCTGGGCTTGTGGATAAAGTTGGTTTCGTTGGGAAAATCTCCAGAGGCCCACCGTTCCTTGATGAAGCCCCCAATATTTCCTACTGATCTGGATTCCAGATTTAATCCAATTAATTGTTGTTTGCAGAAGCGGAATTGCCAGCAATGGCTTAAAACAAGAGCGTCCAACTTTGGCAACTTTGAAGACTTAGGAATCAGAATGGTGAGGGCTAATACGGGGTCCATCTCCCCCCAGGATTCAGCTCAACTAGTCAGAGCTCAAAAAAGTTGACTTTTTTTCCCTCCAAGGTCATATCTGAATAAGGTCCAGTTTACCTCCAGTGTCAAAGCCGAGTTGCCGGTCTCACAACTATCAACCTGCAAACGGAGCAGGCGGCATTTGGGCTCTCCATCCTTCTGTTTTTGGTCTCTTGGGTCTTTTAAACCCCATTTATGCTTCGATACTTGGCTTCTTGGGAACACAACCCAAGTTACAATTTAGCCTGCACTGAGATAGGGATCTGTGTTGTTTCCGAGCACGTTCCCGGCCAACCAGGTGGGAAAAACACACACAAACACAAAAAGTGTCCTTCTGCTCTGACAATAAGGCACTTGGTGCCAGGCGTGGCCTGGAGAGGTGATATTTGCAGACCCTGAGGTGGGCTCCAGGAGAGAAAACGGAGGAAGCAGCCCTTGGGAAAAAACATAAATTTGGTAACGCTGCAGGAGTTTACAAAACAGCCACATTCTTCTCCGCCAGCTCACTGGCAGGTTGAAAACCTGCCTCACCAGACAGGAATCCAGATCACACAGCGATGCCAAGGAGCTGTCGACATGCCGCGGTGGATGGCTTGCCTCTTTGCCATGAAAACACACAACTCAGGGTTGGAAAAACACCGGAGGGGAAAACTTCATTGCTGCAACCGGGACGTTCTCCAACGGGAGAGACGGAGAAAAGCTTTGAAAATAGCCAATTTAGCACCCAAACTGCGGTCCTGCCTCCGAAAGAGAGGCTGGGTGGTGCTCCAGTTAAAGGAGAGAATAGTAAAAATGGGTTGTTGTTTTTCCCTCTTCTCGGATAGGTTGCCGAACCCAGCAGCTTTTGCAGCAGAATTGGACTTTGACTCTGCTGCAGTGTTGTTTTATTTTCACAACTTTCCTTCTAACGGGGGAGATATGACCACCTTCCCAGGTGTCTTCAGGAGGGGGTCTTCTGCAACCAGGTGCCCTCCGGACGTCGGTTCCGAGTCCCATCGGCCTGTGGGCTTGGAGGAATGGACGATGGGACTTGTTGTTCCCAAATATCAAATTGCGGAAAGCCTCTGACAGGCCCTTTTGTGGAGGGGCAATTTCATGACAATTATTTGAATCTTTTCAAGCCAGAAAACAAGATGTTGTCTGTACAGCACATCCCAAGTCATAAAGACACACAAGCTGCAGATTAAATCTGGGGGGTGGGGGGTGGGGTGTTTGCATAAATTTGATTTTTGTCATCAATCTGAGTGTAAGATGGATGGAAGCACAACCGGTTCTGCTTTTTGCTACTCTCCACAATCCTTGATCTACTCCTGGCTGGTTTAACGGTAAGAAAACACCAGGGATTGGCCAGAGAAGGATTCACCCTCCTGGGTGTGTGTGTGTGTGTGTGTGTGTATGCCAAAATTGCTCACCGCTTCTTAGTGGGGTGGTCTACGTGGCCTCTAGTTGTCCACTGAAAATTATCTTTTTTTTTTTTTTTCCTGGGGAAGAAGGTCGGAAAGGCACTCCTTTGAACGAAGGCAAGAGAAAAACAGAGCAGGAAAAAGTCAGGAGAGGGGGCAGCTGTCTTCCAGATCCCGTGGAACTCCCTGCCACTAGATTATCCAGCCAGCGGGTCTGAAGGAGATTTGGGATTCAGACACATCTGGAAGGCCACCTCTGGTTGAGACTTCTGGGGGAGGAACACAAGCCGAGCCAGTGCAGGAAAAGGACAGTTGGGGAAACTTGCAAATATTTCTTCCAGAGGGACTCAAACAGGCCAGGGGGAAGAAAGACCCCTGTCGTTTCAATTCCATGCAACGCCATTTTCACCGTTCTGGATTGTTCTGCAATATTAGCGCACGCCCGTCTCCGTCTCCATGCAACCCGATGCACGTACATTTATAGGCCCTATATACAAAACATATATATATATATATATATGTATATATTTAAAAGGAGGCTCTGTTATTTAATCACTCGTCAATGCCCTGAGAACCAGATTAAAAAAAACCACCTAAATAACACTCAGTTTTTCGTTTAGAGACTTGCAGCTCTGTTTTTCCTTCCCGTCGCGACCGAAAATAAAAAATCTTCCCTTCGTTCTGGTTTTTTTTTAAATCAAGGGGTCGGTTGCTTTGGAGCCCCCACTGGGGAGAAACCTTCCCCCTCTGGGGCAGGGATCCCACCCCACCGTGGGCTTTGCAAAGTTCCTGGGGGATCCTTAGAGAGCATCCAAACCAACCCCACAGAGGGCCTTAACAGGAGCTGGTCTGGAGGTTTCCTTCCGTCAGCAGCGACGCGATGGAGGACGGGCCGTAAGCGCTGTCCAAATCTTCATCTGAACTCAGCTGGTCATCCCGGAGAGAGGACTCGGCTGTCGAGCGTGCCGCCTTGCGCCTGGAGGCAAAAAACAAAGGGGGGGGCTGGTCAAGCGGGGGAACCAGGACGATGGACACCCTCTTGGGCATGAAAGGGAGGGAGATATTTTTCAGGGAAGGGAAGGTCCGACGTTATCGGCTTCCAAATATAATTGTGGTCAGATAGTCTGGGATACACTGCCCCTGCGCATGGAGGTTCTGTCTGCAAGCCCAACAGATTTCCATTTTAACCCAGGAGTGGTGAAGCCCTGGAGCTGCCTTTTGGGGGGGGGGTGCTTCAAATTGAGGTGGTTAAAGAACCTACTACAGCTTTCAGCCTGTGGGAACACAGGTGATCCATCCCTTCCGGATGGATGGATGGAAGAAGGGACAGAGGGATAAACAAGTAGGCAGGTAGGAAAGTGGATGGACAGACGGATCTATGATGGACAGCCAAGCAGGAAGATAGATGGATGGATGGATGGATGGATGGATGGATGGATGGAGATATGGAGAGGGGATGATGGATGGATGGATGGATGGATAGATGGACAAGTAGCTAGATGGGTGGTGGGTGGAAAGACAGGCAGACCAATGATGGACAGCCAAGTAGGTTGATGGATGAATGGATGGGTGACAGACAGGTAGTAGGTAGATGGATGCATGGACAGACAGATGGACAGACAGGTCGGTGGGCGGATGGACAGGCGCCCAAGAAAGGTGGAGCCCCAGTGGCCCACTCTGCTCACCAGAGGTCCTTCTCCAGGGCTTTGACGCGGCTCTGGAGCTGCTCGCTGTTCTCGTGCTGCTCCTCCAGCTCCCTCAGGGCCTTCTTGCGGGCCGCCTCCAGCCGCTCGATCTCCTCCTCGGCCTCGTCTACCTGCCGCTTCAGCGCCTTGACCCGTAGGCTCAGCTTGGCAAGGGAGGGGAAGAAAGCGCCCAGGGTGAGAGTTGGCCCCCGAAGCGGAGAGGTGGGTTGGAGACTCCTTACCTCCCTCGCCCATGGTTGCTGAAACTACAATTCCCAGCATGCTCTTGGGCCGAGGTTCTCAGATGGGTCACTTCTGGAGGACCAGGAAGTTCTGCATCAACGAGTCAGATGGCCTGTGGTGGGAATTATGGGCCTCCAGCAGGCTGTGATTGTCTATCGCGCTAAGCAATGCTTGGTTTGGGGTTGAACGAGCCATCCCGCCTGGTGGACACCACACCTTAAGCCAACACCAGAGATGACTTGGCCCAAAGCGACACTCAACCATCCTACCTTCTTCAGATCTTGAGCAGATGGCCAGTTCCTTGATCCCCATCTCAGGGGATCCCCTTTCAGCTGCTGGGGATCGAATCCTTTCCAAGCCTCATTCGTGAGTTTGGACACGGCTCTCCCAGGAGGAGAAGAGCAGGGGAGCCACCCCTTGCCAGGTCCTCACCTGGTCCTTCTGGTCGTTGACCTGCTGCCTCTCCTCGTCAATCTGCATGCTCAGCTCCTTCACTTTCCTCTCCAGCTTCCGATTGGAGGAGAGTAGGACAGTCTTCTCCCTGTAGGAACAGCGGCCACGTCATTCCCAGGCCCTCCCAGCCACCGGACAAATGGCCCCAAGGAGGCCAACCCATGTTTCAAGCTGGATGTGGTCCTGGGAAGCTTCCCAGGACCAACCACACAGATTTATCACGTGTGAACCGGAGCAGGCAATGATTACAGAGAGGTGAGAAGCCACATCCTTGGGCTTTGTGACAAAGTGGCTACTTTAGGGAATTAAATCCCATACAGTTGTGAGGACTTCTTTTCTCCTGGACTTGGCCTCGGGTGATCCCCTTGGGTGGCTGCTGGAGAAATATTTTTCAGTGGTTCCAAACGCCGCAGGGGTGGCCTACCTCTCTTCCATCAGCAGCTTCTCCTGGAGGTCCTGGATCCGCGACTCCAGCTGGGAGACGTTGACGCTGGGTTTCTGCAGACCTTCGTTGCTGGTCAGCCGGCTTTTGAGGTCCTTGTTCTGGCCAAGAAGAGCAGGAAACACTTTCAGACTTACAAGTTTCTGTTAATGTGGCCTTACAATAAAACAGAATTAACTTTATCTGGCTGTGTTTTTTTCAGTCTAGTCCACCTGGGAAGGACGACGGCTCAAACCCCCAGCACCGTTTCCGTTTCTCCAAGATGGGAGAACGCTAAAATCAGGAGGGGAGCCAAGATTTCATCCCCCCCCCGAGGACAGCCCACACTTTCTGAATAATAATAATAATAATAATAATAATAATAATAATAATAATAATAATAATAATAATAATAATAATAACAACAACAACAACAACAACAACAAAACAACAACAACAACAACAAGAAAAAAAAAGAAAGAAAGAAAGAAAGAGAAAGAAAGAAGGAAAAAAGAAAGAAAGAAGAAAGAAAGAAAGAAAGAAAGAAGGAAGGAAGGAAGGAAGGAAGGAAGGAAGGAAGGAAGGAAGGAAGGAAGAATGTTGGAAGGGACCTTGGAGGTTATCTAGTCCAACCCCTGCTCAGGCAGGAAACCCTGCACCATTTCAGACAAAAACGACAAGACTTATTTTTCCTCTCTCTACGGAAACAGAATTTTTTTGCAAGACGACCCCAACCTGAAGGCAGAGGCGCCTCCTTGAAAAATCAAGGAAGTGGGGGTGATTCTTTCCCCAAAAATCTATTTTTCCCCTCCTCCTAAACCACACGGATCTCCCATCCCTCTGTGAGGAAAATGGGCCGTTCAAAAAAAAGAAAAGTGTGATAAATAAATCAAATGTTATTTTGCTCGGCGCAGCCGGGCTCACTGGCTCGAGTTATCCAAAGTCGTTCCACCGAGTGGAGCCCGCTGGCCAATCAAGACGTGCTCAGAGGCTGCAAAATGCACAGGTGGCCACGTCAGATGACGTGAAAATTTTGGCCGAGTCAGGACGTGTCCTGGTTACAAACAGCGAGCCTAAAATCAAATCGTAAGATTGTGCGATTCTTCTCTGCCTGGTAAAGAAGGGGAATATATATATATATATCTCTTCTTCGTCTCCTGAGTTATATAACAGCCATTATTTTCTTTTTGCAGTGAACCAGGGCCAGATGGAACAAAGGGGGGTTGAAAATTGGCTTTTTTTTCCTTTTAAAGAGTTGCATTGAACCTCTTAAGGGCTGTAAACATCCTCCTGCCAGTTCAGACTTGCAGGGGTTGATCTACCGCATGGAGAGGGTGGAGAAAAAAAAAGAGACTTTTTTTGCATCAGCAATGATGAGAATTTTATTGCTGTAGTGCAGGAATAAAAAAAGCCAGCCCCTCTGAATTCCTGGTGGTTTTTTTCCCCCACAAAAAAGCAGATAAAGAGACCAACTCCTGAGCAAAAATAAAAATAAAAAATTGCAACCTTAGCACCGAAAAATTGCGAAGGAGGAGGCCGACTCTGGGTCTACGGAGAAGCTAAACTGACCTGTCTTTCCAAAGCAACTTTATCGCACTCCAGATCTTGGCGGGCGGATCGCTCCTGCAGCAACTCAGCTCGTAGTTGGTCGATCTCCGAGGGAGGGAGGGAGGGAGGAGAGAGAAAAAAGGGGGAGGGCATAAACTTAATCTGGCCACTGGGTGCCCATCCTGGTTGACCAGACGCCTCCCCAAAACCACGATCTCCCAGCCGTTTTCTGCTCAAAGGTAGACTGCTCCCGCACACTGAGGCTCCGTTCAAATTAAGACACCGATAAGGGTCAAAGGCCGGTCCTGAAAGAGCAGTCCAAGGAATCAAGGAAGCCTCCTCCAGGACAGCAGGGTGCCCACTGAAAACGCGTGGTGATATACTGCGCCTGGATGGGGAGGTTTTGCTGGGACCCAGAAAGTATTACTAGACCTGTTTTCTTGCGCCAATCTCGCACAAAACCATCCGCCGGCTTTCTTTTAGCCCCCGTTAACGCAACAACTGGGCCCCCCTTGGCAGGCAAAAACCTGAGCTGGGAACCAGGGAGTCCCCAGTTCGAATCCCGCTTACGTTGCAAATGCATTGGATCTTCAGCCCAGCCCAGCCCTCCCTTTACGCTAAAAAATTGTCTAGACGCTGGCAAATCTTAGTAATTACATATTATGCTTGTTTTTTTGTTTTTTCTGATTTTTTTTCCCCTCCCCAAACAACTTGGGTGACAACGCTGTAAAACGCAGGGAAATGAAAGCCTTGCAGAAAAGTAAATATAGGCCCTGACAGCACCGGGAAGGGCCGGGAGGGGATGAGAAGGGATTTAAACACGTTGACAGACACGGCCTCCATCTGCTTTGACGGGCCCTGCAGATTTTGCACAAAACAGGCTGAGCGGTAGACGCCGAAGCCCGCCGGTGTAATGCAAGCCAGATATTTTTCTTTTATTGCTTGTAAACCAGCGGCAGGCCAGGCGTTTTGTCCGACTGATTCTGGAATGACATTAAAGTCTAAAATATGACGGTAACAAGGCAGCGAAGGGGATAAATTAACTTTCAGGTCCAAATAATGTGCAGCGCGTGAGATTTTGGGGGGTATTTCCCATAAAATGGCTAAAAGATTCCGTGTTTTGCAACCACCAAGATACCCACTTTCTACTGATCAGGATTTTTGTGGCTTTCCATGCCGAACGGGGCTCACCTGATCTCTGGATCGGTTGATCCTCTCGGTCAAAAGCTCCACCGAATTGTGTTCCTCATCCAGCTCCACTTCCAGGCGCTTGGCTTTATCCTGCAAACACAGGGACGGGCTTAGCAAGGGACCCTCCTGGATCCACCAGGCGCTTAAAAAAACAGAGTTGAAAAAGTCTCTGCTTTATGTTGGGTTTGATCCAATGAACCAGTCTTTTTTTTTTCCTGCTCTGGAACTGGCTGCTTTCCTTAACAGGGAAGAAAAATCTTTCATTTTCCTTCTAGAAAAATGCAAAGTTTTGCAGTACGAAAAATGTCGTCCCCAGCATTTTCTTTTTTTCTGGGAAAGAAACGCAGGCAAAATTAATTGGGTTTATTGCAAAAACTGGGCAGAGTTTAATCAAAGGGGAGGAGGCTAGTTTGAGAGCAAACGCTGCCCTCTGGTGGTGGGTGGAAGCAATAATGGCAGCAAAACGAGCTGTAAAATCGGGCAGGACTTCCTTCACCTCTGTCTCACTTAGTGACGGATATTCTGGTCCCAACCCTGGTTGTGAGTTGAGGACTAGCCGTAGCTACGCCCAAAAGGAGAGAGAGCGGGATCCGCTCAGAGGCCGTACAAACCTCCAAGGCTTTGACCTGCCGGGATCGATCGTCCTGGGATCGCCGCTTGGTCTCCATCTCCTGCTCCAGGTTGCGGAGTCGCTGGGCCAGGAGCTCCTTGTCCAGGAGGGCGTTGTCTCGCTCGGCCTGGCTGTCCTGCAGGGCCTGCCGGAGACGCAGCAGCTGGGGAGGAGAAGAGAAGGAGGAGGGATGGATAGATACAGAGATTAAGAGATTAGATAGATAGATAGATAGATGATAGATAGAGAGAGAGAGAGAGAGAGAGAGAGAGAGAGAGAGAGAGAGAGAGAGAGAGAGAGAGAGAGAGAGAGAGAGAGAGAGAGATGGAGAGAGAGAGAGAGACAGATAGGAGAAAGATATATAGAGACAGAGATATAGATATAGACAGATAGACAGATAGACAGACAGATAGATAGATAGATAGATAGACGGACGGATAGATATGGATAGATAGATAGATAGATAGATAGATAGATAGATAGATAGACGGACGGATAGATATAGACAGATAGACAGATAGACAGATAGATAGATAGATAGATAGATAGATAGATAGATAGATAGATAGATAGATAGATAGATAGATAGATAGATGATAGACAGACAGACAGACAGACACAGACAGACTTAGATAGATAGATAGATAGATAGATAGATAGATAGATGATAGAGACAGCCAAGAGTGAGAGAGAGAAAGAGAGGGATATAGACACAGAGAGATAGACAGCTAGATGAGAGAAAGGTGGAGAGATAGATATAGACCAGGGGTAGTCAACCTTGGCTCTTTTATGACTCGTGGACTTCAACTCCCAGAATTCCAGCTGTGCTGGCTCAGGAATTCTGGGAGTTGAAGTCCATGAGTCATAAAAGAGCCAAGGCTGACTACCCCTGATATACACAGAGATAGATAGATAGATAGATAGATAGATAGATAGATAGATAGAGAGAGAGAGAGAGAGAGAGAGAGAGAGAAAGAGAGAGAGAGAGAGAGAGACAGACAGACAGACAGACAGACAGACAGACAGACAGACAGACGAGAAAGACAGACAGACAGACAGATCTTTCCTACCTACCTCGTCTTGGGATCTCCCCAATTCATACTGCATCTTCTCCACTTCCACGTTCCGGTCCTTCGCCTGTTTGTGGGAATCGCTGATCTCCTTGCGCGACTTCTCCTTGTAGTCCTCCAGCTGGGACTGCAAGTCCGAGAGGGCCTGGTGAGACTCTTCGGCCATCTGCTTCAGCTGGAGAAGGAGAGGACACCCAGTTTCACCACAGGATGGGTTTGGCCCCATCCTTCCATGAACTGAAGGATGCCCAAGAGGGAGGTGGCAGACCTGGGATGCCGAGTCCCACCTGTGTCTACAAGGTGGCATCTCAGGAAGCCTCAATCTATGGTTTTTGAGCCCGGGGGGGGAAGCCATTGGATGCCCCCCAACAAGACTGACCTCCTTGGTCAGCTTCACGATGCTTCTATCCAGCAACCTCTTCTCCTCTTCCAGATCGTTTTTGGCCCTCCTGAGTATCTCCTTCTGCTTCAGCTCCTCCTGGTAGGAGGTACTCAGGTCCTGGTGCTCCAGGGTGAGTTTATGGAGGCTACGCTGGGCCTCCTCCAGCCGGCTCTCCAGGGACCTTTTGGCCAGCAGCAAGTCCTGCTCCTGATCCACGGCGTTGTTCACGGACTCTTCCATCTGCTTGCGGTCAGCCTGGGAGCAGGAGGAGGAAAGGAAAAAGGGGAAACTGAGGCAGGACCCAAGAGACCAGCCAAGCAGGAAGCTCCTTTACTGCTCAAGGAAACGTAGAGAACCTTAAAACTGGATTTGGAGGTCATCTGGGCAAGAGACCCCCTCATCAGATCTCCAGATGGAGCACCATCTACTCAAAGTAGAAATGGAGCCTACAGATGGAGCATCATCTACAGATGGAGCACCATCTACTCAAAGTAGAAATGGAGCCTACAGATGGAGCCTACAGATGGAGCACCATCTACTCAAAGGAGAAACGGAGAAGTTGACCGCTTCTCCTTCCAGTACCTCCAACTTGAAAATCTTCTCCTTCAGCCTGGTCTCCACGTCTTGCCAGCTGTCCGCAAAATGGTAGTATTCCTTGAGTTGGGTCTCCAGCCCCAAGATCCTACGACGGAGGTCATCGTTCTCTTCCTGACTTTCCTTCAAGGTGGACTCCACCAGTTTCCGCATCTGCTCAGTGGCCTCCCTCTCACCTTCCAAGGCTGCCTTAGCCTACAGGAGGAAGGGATGGAGAAGACAACCAGGTTCTCCCATCTCGGTTCACCACCAAGCTGGACGCTGAACCAGTTTGGAAAAGCTAGATCGGCTTTCCAATGTCCTCCCTTACCTTAAACGCTTCCTCGTGGTCTTTCTGGAGCTGCTGCATCTTCTCTTGGAACCTCGCGTTTAGTCCCTCGAGGTCCCGGCTACGGGAAGCAACCTCATCTTCGAGCTTTTCCTTCAGGTCAACAATCTCACTCTCCCGCAGGCGTAGGACCTTGTGTTGGTCCTCCTTCTCCTCCACCATGTCCTGCAGCTCTTCCCGAGCCTGACGGAGCTCCTGGCAGGAGGAGAAAATGAGACAGAGCCATCCCAGAAAGTTGAAGGACCATTAGGTGTAGAGGGCCAGTCTGGTGTAGGGTGTAGAGAATGTGATCAGGGATGATGGAACTTGAAGTTCTTCAACCACCATCGGAGGTCCCAACAAGGTGATGTTTCCACACACAGTTATGAGGTCCATCTTAATGTTTCTCAACCTCAGCAACTATGAATTTCAACTCCCATGCAAGCTGGGGAATTCTGGGAGTTGAAGTCCACACGTCTTGAAATGGCTGAGGTTGAGCAACGCTGGTCTAGTTCCTTGTTGAGGGTCTTTGCAGCTGAACATACCTTTCTTAGCTCATGGAGCCCCTCGGCGTCCGTCGAACGGTTCCGGATCTGGTCCATCTCTTTCCGCAGGGCTGCCAAGCGCTCGCGGCTCTCCTTCAGGTCCTCCTCAAACTCCTCGCGTTCCACCTTGACCTGCATCAGCCTGGAAGAGGTGAAGGCCATCAACGCATCAGCGACAAGGGAGGCAGAAACCCAACAGCGGCCAAATTAAAGGCAGCGATGGGGTGTCAAAGGCAACGTCACACCATAATTAAAACCATCTTGTGAACGAGGGCTGAAGAACCAGCCGAGATGCTTGAAGCCCCTGAAGATGATTAAAGATGGTTGAAAGGGAAAGCTGCCCAAGATGGGTGGGGTCTACAGAGGAGATGATGGACCAGAAAGGTGACTTAACATACTCTTGTTTGACACTACGGAGGTCCTCCTTGTTTCGTTGGGACGTCTCCTTCCAGTGAGTGGCCTCCTCCTGGCTTTCTCGGAGCTCTGTCTGGAGGGTCCTCACCAGAGAGTTGACCTTCTGTCTCTCGGCCTCCAGGCTGGCTTGATCCTACCCAGAAGAAACCCAAGGGGTAGAACCCAACTCCAGATCTTCAAACACAAGGTGGACCTCATGTTTGGAGAAGAATCACAGGGGCCCTCAACATTTCACTCCTAGACATCCTGGGAACTAGATGGGAGACTTTTGAGTTCCCGTGCTCAAAAGATTCAAGATTAAGGAGTGACGTCCCTTTCTCTGCCTAAATCTTGGTCTAGTGGTCACCTCTCTCTTGAAGGCCAGAAGATACCATGCTCCTCCCCGCCTGAAGATCTCTGCAGGAAAAGACCTAGCATGTCAACCAGAGGTTGGGTGAGACTCCTTCATCGTGAGGTGTTGGGAGTCTTCCACCTGCAGAGGCGGCAGACCAGGCCACTCACCTGCGACACGTCCTCCATGTTGCGTCGCAACTGCTCCATGTCCTGCTGGTACTGCTGCCGGACCCGATCCAGCTCCTTGTCGTGGCTGGACACCTCCTCCTTCAGGGCCCCCTTCAGAGCGGTCAACTCGCGCTCCCTCTGGCGCAGCTGGTCTTCCTGCTTCTGCTTGGCCACCAAGATCTCCTCCAGGTCTTCGCGGGTCTCCAGCAGCTCCTGAGGAGAGACCAAGAAAGAGAGAAAAAAACCTCACTTTCTGGGCCTGGCCTGGCCGGAGGGCTTCGGCCGCGTCCACTCGGGTGTCTCCACTGACCTTCAGCAAGGCGTCCTGATCCAGGCTGCCCGAGGGGAGATCTTGGAAGCGATCCAGAGCCTTCTGCATCTCCGTCAGCTGGTCTTCGAGGTCGGTCAGCTTGGCTTCCAACTGCTCCTTGACCGTTCGGAGGTCTCTCAACCTTCCGGGGAGGGAAGAAGAGCTGGCGTTGATCGAAGGCAAAAGAACTCTGGAGACGAGGACTAGCCATATTGAGAATATTCATCCCTCCAGAGCGCTCCTGATTTTCCGGCCAGGGAGTCCGGCCCAGGGGGGAGGCCTGGAAGGGGGAGAGGGACAGCACCGGACGCCCCCAGCCCGCCAGCCCCCCACTCACTCTTTCGCCGTGCTCTGGAGCTCCCGGCTCTTCTTCTCAAAAGCTTCCCGGAGTCGCTGGCATTCTTCCTCCAGTTCCCGCAGCCGGATTTCGAGGGGGCGAGGAGGGAGGCCGTGCCGGG